TCCCCCTTCCAAGTAGGAAAAACCTACAAAATCTATTTTGAAAACCAGAACTAAAAATATTTGATTTTTACCTGGACTCCGACCAGAAGCGCCGGGATAAAATACGCAACTATCTCCAACACCAGGCAGACTCATAGATCGATCGATAGCTAGAAAGACAGAAAGGAATAAACTGAAATAAACAGGGGAAAAAAATGGGATATATAGGTAGATAGATAGGTAAACAGATAAATATAGGGGATATCGATAGAAATAGATTGAGAGAGGAGGGTTAACATTTTGATGAATTGAAGCGAATTCTATGAAAAAAAGATAAAAATAAAAATAGACGAATGAAAAACCGCTGCCTTACATATTCGGATGCGCCATGTTGAAAATACAATATTGGGATACATTTTAAAACTAGAATGTTCAGAATGTCATTTTTATATGAATTGCACTGAATATGAGATAGATAGATAGATAGATAGATAGAGAGAGAGAGAGAGAGAGAGAGAGAGAGAGAGAGAGATGAGAGAAACAGAAACTGATTATGGGCGATAGAGAAAAAGAAATAAAATCCTGACAGACAGACAGACAGATAGATAGATAGATAGATAGATAGAGAGAGAGATAGAGAGAGAGAGAGAGAGAGAGATGAGAGAAAGAGAGATTATGGGCGATAGAGAAAAAGAAATAAAATCCTGACAGACAGACAGACAGAGAGATAGATAGATAGATAGATAGAGAGAGAGAGAGAGAGAGATTAGAGAAACAGAAACTGATTATGGGCGATAGAGAAAAAGAAATAAAATCCTGACAGACAGACAGACAGACAGATAGATAGATAGATAGATAGATAGATAGATAGATAGAGAGAGAGAAAGAGAGAGAGAGAGAGATGAGAGAAACAGAAACTGATTATGGGCGATAGAGAAAAAGAAATAAAAATCCTGACAGACAGACAGACAGACAGATAGATTGATAGTGTGTGTGTGTGTGCATGTGTGTGAGAGAGACAGAGAGAGAGAGAGAGAGAGAGAGAGAGAAGAGTAAGAAAGAAATAGATTAACAAAATTATATAGATAGATAAATATATAGAAAATAAATTAGATAAAAAATAAATTAGATAAAGAACAAAGATATATATATATATATATATATATATATATATATATATATATATATATATATATATATAGTTAGATGCTAAAAAAGGATTTAAAATGAAATATGATACTATAGTAATTTTAATTATTGTACGTTTATAAATAGAATGTCATCAATTCCAAGCATAACAATGATTTTAAATAAATAATTTAAAGAAAAATTTTTCATAAAATATCATCTTATTACGGATGATTAATTAAAATCAAGGAGTGTTTATTAAATTTTGATAAATTTTCTTACTATTAAAATCAAAATAACTTCATACAATCGGAAAAGCAAATAATAAAAGTAACTTTGATAAAAAAGGAAAAAGAAACTCACATTTTAAAAGTCTGTATTTTTGTCGTAATTTCTTTTTTATTTACTGTTGTCGTCTTCAAATTTTCCGAGAGATATATATATATATATATATATATATATATATATATATATATATATATATATAAAAAAAAAGATAAAACAAACTATAAAAGTAGTAAAAAAATTGTTGGCTTTCGGCTCTGTGAAGAGCGCAATTATTTACAGTTCAGAACCCAGCCGCCATTATCATTAATGTAATTTCCCGACGATTATGCTTTTTTATTATTGAACCACGGCAATGTGGAGTCAAAAAAACAGATGAGAGGTGATTTAATGATTAATCATATGCGATTAAAATAAAAAGCGACTTGTGTACATCCGTATAACGCGCACAACTATACGTTTTATTTCTTTTTTCTTTTTTGAATATGGACGCGCTGATTGTCAAAGGAAAATGACATCGTTCGCACGTTGACAAATCGAATTCTTTTTTCTTCTTTTTTAGCAAAAATGTTATTTCGCGCTTTTTATAGATAATCATGAAGAGGCATTTACTCAGCAGACGATCAGGGAAGAAAAAAGTAGCCTGTAGTTCAGACAATACATCTCCACTGTAATTAGAAGACGTAGGGTCAGTTAACGAAGACGACGACGGTAGAAGTGTAAAAAGAAACTACATCTACAAGAAATCCTTTTTTCATGTCAGTTCGTACACAAAATAAATACACTTACATTAAAAAAATAATTGTTAGACTTCCAAGAAAACTTTCAATATGGGAATATTGATATGAAAACAATATGCAGAGCCGGATTATGAACTTTTCGGGTCCCTAGGCTAATTAAATTATGTCCCACAACCAGACGGAACCACCCTCAAACTCAGCCTCACCCATCTTGAATATTCTTTACTTGGGATATATTTTAGCGACGTTTTGCATAATTCGCTGGTCATATTGGTTGGATTCTACCTATTGTTCTGAAAATTGAGTTTAATATTCCTTTTTTCTGTGCTTATTAACATAAAATACATAGCATCATACGGGCATTAGAATCTGAGAAATGGATAAAAATATTTAAAATTGATGGGTGTACGACGTTGAATATATATATATATATATATATATATATATATATATATATATATATATATATATATATTTATAGTTTCAAGGTGTGGTATATTTATGGGATAAAGTGCTCAATATCAGAGATAGAGCGTATGTAAATATAAATATAAAAAGTGAACAGGTTGAAGCCAGACTCAATCGTCGACAGGATGTTTCGTCTAGCATGAAACAGCCTGTCGCCTCTGATTGCGACTTTAATGTTCACTTTATATATATATATATATATATATATATATATATATATATATATATATTATCATCATCATCATCATCATGGCTTGGCTTCGCAAAACGAAGATCAAGAAGGAGTCTGTGATTGATAAAGTCCAATGCGGGACAAGCATACATGGTCACATTAGTTGCAGCTGAAAGTCCAGGCTGGGCTCGATGACATAGTGCAGCAGTACTTTCTCCTCTGCCTCTTATATATATATATATATATATATATATATATATATATATATATATATATATATATATCAGGTATGTGGTGTAGTTCAATTTACATTACATGAATCATTCATACATTTGTATGGTTGATTCATGTAATCTATCTATCTACTATCTATATTTCTCATGTTGTCTGTCTGTGTGTCTGTCTTGGGCGCTGTTACCTCGCCCAGGCCGCATTTCTCACCCGATTTCGATGGGTTTTTCAACACAAGTTTGCAAATGGCTGCCATAAGGACATGACGGAGCTCGATTTTTGAGTTCGGAATCAAGTTCCGAAAAAATCGATAATCGAAAAAATTCTGCTTACAGAAGGAATGATTGCATTTCAACCAAATTTGACACCCTCTTAGAGTCTACCATTAGAAGTGCTGTCCAGAAGTTTCATGACCACGGACCCCTAAACAGCGCGGAAAATCAATAAAACCCAAAAACCGATACGCCCAGATTGCGTCTGAACCGCATGTCGGTTTTTAGCGAAAACCGAGCGGATTTATCAGGAGTCATCATATGAAGTTTCAACTCTGAGCACCCCCCCAAACAGAGGGCAAATCGACAATCGGTCAACCCTCAAAAATGTCTTTTCCGGTTTTTTAAAGCTGATCGTATTGTGTTTATTTTGTTTAGTTCTTTTTCGTAACAGATTTAATGTTTACTATAGAGCTTAGAAAAAGTTGGCAGTGTGATATAGGCAAGAAGTAAGGCATGTAACAACATCAGCACGGCAAAGGGCACTCCTCTAAAGGCAAGGAAGGGCAAAAATATTTTAAGTCAAGTGATAGCGATTGCTGTATTAGTCGTACTATTTTTGAATCAAGCACGGACAACGCCGGACCATGCTGCTAGTATATATATATATATATATATATATATATATATATTAAAAGCCTTCTACAAACCCGCTATGACTCTAATCGTGACAAACAACAAAAACAAAAAGTATCAAATCCTCCCCTGAAAAAAAAAATCCTACTTCATTTTTTCTTATTTTTTGTCTTGTTGAGAAAGGACAGAGAATTGTCTAAAAATTCCTGCTTTTAATACCTTTTGTCATACATGTTTCTACTTGGTCAAAAGGCCTAATAATAATAATAATGATAATAATAAATATTATTATTTTTATTATCAATATTATTATTTTGTTGTTACTTTTATATCTCGAATTTCTTATATCAGCCTATTATATCTACATATTATAAGAAGCACACGTGGACAATATTTCTTTAGTCGCATTAGACTACAACTACTATTACTATCCTATATTATAAAACATCACTTGTTCTGCCTGTAGCATGGCTTGCCCATATGTATAAGCGCATGTCTGTTGTGCTTGACTGAGTTACATGTATTTATAAGCGTCATCTTTCTGTACCCATTAACCCTTCCAGCTCCATAGGATTGATACCACGTGAATATTCAAGCAACGATTATTACGGGATTGATCGATTGGGATATTTTTTGTTAGTAATGATCACTCTAATACAAGGCCCAAGAGTCACTCAAACTAGAGGGTTACAGTGTGGTGTTATATGAGCCTAAGAAAGAACTAGAAGTAAAGATCTTGTGAGCTATGCAGGAAAGATAATGGACAACTCTAGACTTGAGGAGATCAAGATTTGATTAGTGAATAACATTTCCGATTTCAGTTGGAAATACAGTGTAGAAGAGAAATAAGATATAAACCTCTACTTCTTATCAAGAGACCGGGGAAGAGTGTGAACCGGACGTCGGCTACATTTGAAGGTTAGATGTTTCTAAATTTTGAACTGTCTTTCTTTTAATTAGTAGCTTAACTTATTTTTCTTAAATAGTCCCTAAAAGCAACAAGTAACGAAATTTAAAATTTAATAGCGCAGGGATTTGAAAAACAAAAATAAAGGATTGGCAACTTTTACTTACCGACATGCATCACGATTATGGAAACGTTCCCAGAAAATAAAGTCGTCGTCTCCGTAGTTCCATTTCACCCAGCTTACGACTATATCCTGTTAAAACAGCGGTTCTCGTACGATCACCGAAGTTAAGCAACATCGTGCCTAGCCAGTATCCAGATGGCTGACCACTTGATAATACTGGGTGCTGTAATCTTGGATGTGTGGGTGGTGTCCTGGATAATGGCTCCGAATTGGAGATCAGAGAGCTAAGTTCCAATTCCAGTCGGGTTCATTATATTCACTTACGTGCAAATAGCCTTGTGAAAGGCATGAATCCATCACTTCTTCTAGGACCTGCAACCGTAAACCATTATCACCACCAAGAAATTATTACAATCTAAAAATATTTTCTGGCTTTAAATAACCTGCAAAAGGTTGATAAGTCGTAAAATAAACAAATAAATCACTCAGTCTGTCATTTGCCCCTCAATGCATGTGTATAAGATATACATATTCGCTCGGGGCCTTGCCGTTGACAAGTGTTCAGTAATCTCGAAGATTATCTCTCTCATGAATTTAATCATCATTGATCTTGTACCAAACTTGGTTAGGCTGAGTAAAATAGATTGAGTTAGTGGACCGGATTAAACAATATCAAAACGAATGATATTGTCACTTTTAAAAGGTTTGAACAAACGTAGAACCTTCAGAAGTCAGTATTTTCTTTAAAACAATTGCACAAAAATATTAGAAACTGGGATGTAACTCACCTCAGACAATGGCAAGATAGACTTTGCACTCACTGTCCATCGGAGAAGTTTAGTGCATCAGCGGGTTGACCCGAGTGATAACCTCATAGCCGCCAGGTGTAGATATGTAATTTCACTAGATGTCTCTGTCCCCCTAACATGTAAACACGATGTCGACCTTGCTTGCTCTTTGGATGTTCACAAGTGAGACAAAACAGATGATAGGTAGATATATAAACATCTATCCGAGAAAAGGAAAGTCTCTAATATCTTAGGGGGAGGAAAGAATACACGTATGGAGAAAACCCCGAAGCCACACACCTATTGTATAACATTCCATAAGCATGTCTTAGTTCAGCTCAAGGTCAAAAAGAGAGGGACGGAAAAAGAAGGTCGAGTTATGCAAGTTTTCCAAAAGAATCTGGTTGTTTTAAATATTCATGGTCATCTTCGTAACATGAACATTTCATTCTTTTACGCTGGTCATTGTAGCGTTTGTTTTGATTTGCTATTTTTATGGTTTATTGGGATATTTAAAACCGAATCATATTTTAAATTTTAAAAATAACAATAATTTTTCTAGACACACGTCCTACTATTTAACCCATAGTTGTGGGGAGGCAATGGATTTATACCTTTCCCAATGATATTAGCGCTTAAGTGAATGCAATAAACCTGACTAGTATTTGAACTCATGTCTCCAATTTAGGAATGAGATAAAAAAATTACTAATCAACATTTAAATTTATTTGGGTGTAATATAGACCAATAATGGACATTGTAAGGCAAAAAACAACACTAAAATTGCGCGGAATAAAAAGAACATTAAGTTTTTTTTATAAACAATTTTTTTTTCTATCCTCTGCCAGCCGCAATGATGGAGAAAGCATTACCTCGAACCATCACCAGTGAGACACGCTGCAAGAGCCACTCCGTTTCGCGAAGCTCGTCCCTTAATCGAGACGCAATCGCACCAATCCTCCGAAGGAACGCTATCGAACGAGGGCCAATAACCCCTGAAATCTCCATTGACACAAGAGTAAAAAAAAAATCTATCAGTAAGAGAAGCATATTTAACTATTTTTTCATCTCTGCATCCCGGGCGATGGATCCTGGCTCAACCGCGGAACTGATCAAATTACCGACCGAAAATATATCCGCACAAGTCGCATCCCAAATCAACGACTTCCCCATTTTAAAAGGGAAAATGGTAATGCCATCCGGCCGCTTCCCATCACCATGGTCGAGGCCTACGGGTTAGATTTGGGAAAGGAACCCAGCTGCATCCAAACCTCTTCTGATGATGTCGTTTATTGCTGCATGTTGTGGAAAGCGGCCGGTACTACGACGACAGGAGAGAGGATGCAAACCAAACCCATCAATGGAAGCTCCACATCTACATCTGTGACGCTGACATAGTTTGAGTCCAAGACGGATCGCGACTCCGACCCGAGTGCACTCATCATCTAGAAGGGTACCGGTAGATGAAGAGGGCACTGCGTTGAGCCAGGCGCCACTGCTAGGTTGTGAAGCAAATAGTAGACAGGCGAGGCGATGCTGATCCAAAGGGAGACTCAAATTAGTAAAATTGGACTCGCATTTTATTTTATCCCAGCTTTTTTGTTTTGATGTGTCTAGTGGGATAGAAAGTAATTCATAATTATCTGTTGAGGAAATCATTTTGGAACTGAGTTTTCTTTATTACATACTTTTTCTCTATCTTTCCTGAGTATTTTTTTTTATATTTGAAGGGAAGGGTCAGAATTTTTTTTTTTCTAACATTTGGTGGCGGGAACATGAACGCCACGTGCGGCTTTATAAACCACAAACCGTGAGGAAACAATCCCGGAAAATCGCGATCTCCCGTTGGTGATAAAGAACCAAGGAAAAAAAAAAAAAAAAAAGAAAAGAAAAGAAAAAAGAGCCGCCATTTACAGAAGGTGGAATCTTTAGCGATAGCATTGGGCTCAATCCTTTAAAAGAAGACTTTATAAGGATTTAATCTTCTCCTCGGATCTGTCTTTCTTAATTTCATGGCCCCATCGTCATTCTGACTGGGGCATCTCAGATAAAAACCTCCCGAAGGGAAAGAGCCAACGCACTTTGTTTACTTTTGCATTTTGCAAGGGAGGAGGAGGAAAAAAGGGACCAAAAATAAAAGAAAGAAAGAAAAACAAATGTGGCACGCGATTGAATATTTGGCCTAATTCATTCATTCGCTTATTCATTCATTCTTTCAGTCATTCTTTTGTATAATTCACAGTTTTTTAAAATATCTGTCTGTCTGTCTGTCTGTATATCTATCTATCTATCTATCTATCTATCTATCTATCTATCTATCTATCTCAGTGTGTTCATATCTATCTATCTATCTATCTATCTATCTATCTATCTATCTATCTATCTATCTATCTCAGTGTGTTCATATCTATCTATCTATCTATCTATCTATCTATCTATCTATCTATCTATCTATCTACTTATTTTCCACCCTCTTCCTCAATGACTAAGTTATTTCCTAGTCGACTGAGAGAAAGTTTTGATGTCTCACACGAAAAGATTGGTGTCACATTTACGAAAATACGCATCCCATAAGCCTTTTTTTATCATATACTCTTTCCACGATTTGCACGTACACAGAGACACTTGAGAGAGAGAGAGAGAGAGAGAGAGAGAGAGAGAGAGAAAGAGAGAGAGAGAAAGAGAGAGAGAGAGAGAGAGAGAATATGACTCTTTAAATATCTTTTTTCTTTGTATTCACAAATAACGCCCACGAAACCATTCGTTTTTTTTTATGTCAAATTGACTCAACTTAAGACGATTGACTCAAATATTCTGCAGAAGTCAATTAGCATTTTTCTTAGTTTCAAACATGAAGAATTTTCATTATTCCATTTATGATTTGGACATTTTTTCTTAAATCATTGTTGTTTTTAACGAAATATTTCATCCGTTACATTTTTCTGTCTTCTATTGTAGGCACCGCCAAAGATTCACTCAAAAAAATGAGCAAAGCACAATAAAAACTGCCCAAAACATAAAAAGTTTTATTGTCAAAATCTTTATGTTATTATTAAGAGGAAAGACAAAAGGATTTTTGATTATTGAATTATATTTTTTTAATATGTATAGAATCTTCAAAAAAAAACAAACTTTTTTCTTCTGTCTGCGGGTGACTATGAATTAATGTGAAATTTTAGCGTCTTTTTGTAGTGAAAAACACATTGAATTTGAAATTCTTGCAAACATCAGGTAATTGTCAGATTTTAATGGAACTTTCAGGACTTATTCACAAATTAATGCAATTATTTTTAAAATGTTTCATTTTTAGAAAATTTTGCTAATTTTTCTTTTTACATCTGTTACCCTTATACTCATTTAATTTTATGAAATTTTGAGAAATTCTTTTTTGTGGAGCTTAATGTTTATATTAATTATAAGGGCAAGTCCTGGGAGAACTTAAATCATCAAATTTTATTAATTAAATAGGACCCCCATAAAATTTGGTTTGAATCGTAAAATAATAAAAAAAAATGAAATAAGAAACACATTTAATTAGAAAAGTTTTAAATTGCTTTTTTGAATAAGATATATTATAGATACTGTTGCCTTAAGAAAAGAAAATTCGATGAATAATTAATCTTTACAAGAATTGTTTAAATTTTTAAAAATTTTAATTATAATAGTTTATAGAGTTTAAAATCTTTTAAAATTCTGTATTAATTTGTATCGGTTAGATCAAATTTTTATTAAGCAAAAATACCATTTATTAATCTTAAATGGAAAAACTTACGACAATTCAGCGACTCAATGTATTTTAAAAAGAATTTTTTGATATTTTTGTGTGTATAAACGTCTGCTTTCTGTAAATACAGACACCCATGCACAACATTATGAGAAAATAAAAGCAATAACTATAGGAAATCTAAAGCAGAATTACATAAAATTCAATAAAATATTACATTATAATATTTCCTAAAGTTTTAAGATTACTGGCTATTAAAAAATTATATAAAAAATGCGTTCACGTTGTATTCGTCAAATAATTTTTATGGTCATATGCCCTTTACTTAAAAGTATCAAAAGTTACGCTATCGATAAATGGGTCAACACATTATAAAAACACCCACCTCCGTGTTAAAAATACTTTTCTGCGATATTTTAAACTAAAAGTAAGCAATATCTGTTTTAATTCAGATTAATTAAACTTTAAATCAGTTAATCTTCCTGAATTAAAGATTCAGAAAAGTATATTTTAGTTTTGAAAAAAAAATAAAAAAAATAAAGGGAATTAAAAGGTCTTTCGAAGTCATTGATGATTATTTTTCTTTAGAACGTGTGGTTAAAAACTAATGTAAATTTTAAAGTTTGAAAAAATATAGAGAATAAGAGTAAGGTTTCGAATTTCTTGAGCATTTGGCCTTTTACTCTTTAAACAATATTTATTATCAGGGTCCAGATAG